ATTATGGAAAAGAACTGTGTGTAAAGACGCGCGCTCCAGGCGTTCAGCCGAATCGCCTCGTCCCGTATGCGCCGTTCCCCATCCTTCGTCTACGTTCTTCCTCGACGGAACGCGCATTTTCAATTATTCTAGGCTCCTTGAATAATCGAGCGACCGTTATTTTTCAGCTGGTTGATTCGAGGCCACTCCTTTTCTCTCTCTCTCTCTCTCTCTCTCTCTTTCTCTCTCTTCTCTCTCTCTCTCTCTCTCTCTCTCTCATTCTCTCTCTCTCTCTCTCTCACTCATCTGTCCTCACAACATCCAAATCGTGCTTATTGATTTAGGTGCTCGTAAACCGCGCGTCCTACTCGTCCTTCACGCGCACACGCACGTATACACGCAGCGGGTGACACCCGCGCGTTCACACCTGCCTACGCGTGTGGAATTTAGAGGTTATCAGTTTGTCGACTCCTTTTCCCCTTCATCTCGATGCTTAAAAGATAATATACGCAGCGCGGCGAAGAGGAGAGAGAGAGAGAGAGAGAGAGAGAGAGAGAGAGAGAGAATCTCGCCGATGTATCCTCGTTGGTAGCGACCGTGCGCGCGCGCGCTTCACCGTAATTTTCTGCAATATAGTGCCTACATCCTCTCTCGCTGATGCATTGTAACCGGTATCCTATCGAATCGAGCAGGTGGCTCGATAGGCTCCCTTATATTTTGACGATTAGTTCTGGACCCAGCTTCTCCTCGAAGGACGGCCGCACCGTCGCTGCCACAACACCTTTCTCTCAGCCAGGGCCGCGCAACCGCAGCCGCGGCTGGATACATAATATACATTTCCCCAGGTGTATTACGCAGACGGGCTGCATCAGCGCTCGCGAAGGTGGGACCTCCGAGGAGGACATTTCGGTACTCTGCTTGAATTCCAGACATTCTCGCGATGCCGCGTTCGTGACTTGATGTCAACGTTCGGCCCGTGTATCTTCCTTGCCCCGGAGCCTCCCGTTGCCGTCGCCGGGAAGAGACCGGGAAGAGCCGGGAAGCTTCTTCCGCGGCTTGCCGATGAATTTTAGATTCTTTGATTGGATTTGAGATCTGCCTCAGGTGAAAGCCACGAGGAAGCCACGGACGTTGCGCGGACGTGTGTGTCTATTGTGTGTCTTCGAAGAGAGTCTACAGCTGACAAACCCGCTGAACGATGGGTGGACGAAGCGAGAGCCTATTGTTTCCAGCGGTGTACCTCGCGTTATTCCCAACGCTGCGCCGATTGCCTCTCATTTCGTATCGTGCGCATTTGTAGAGGCTTTTCAGCTCGTCTCGATAGCCGTTGCTCGAGGCTTGTCTCGAGTGAGACCCTCAGACTTGCATCTAGAGCTGGATGTCTTTCGGATGAATCGACATTATTGATGCGCGGAGCGCATCGCGTGACTCCAGCATCAGTACGAGCTAATGCGAGGTCCAACGACCATTGATACACTGTGCAGCCCGATGGATATTCCAAACAGCGAGTAACAGATTCCCTCATGAATACACGCGATCTTAATCTTCGATTAGAAGCGCTCACATAAATCTACCCCAGCGGCCGATTCGACGCGTATAAATATCCGACGCAACAATCGGACCTCATCAGGGCTGGGAGCGAGCCGCTTCGGGAGCGCGGCGAGTCCCGGAGAGTCACGCGGGGAAACGTCATGCTCGGTGTCGGCGAGACGTTGATAAGGGCTGCAAGAAAGAAAGGGAGATGAGTAACGACCCCGAATGTTCGCAAGGAATCGAGGGGATTATCGAGCGGCTCGTCGCAGCATCCGCCATCATCTCGCGGCGGCTGCGTCCCTGGCAAGCGAGACAGCCGGTCATCCTGGCGTTGCGCGGCGTTGGCCATCGCTGCCGCTGCCGCTGCCGCCGCCGCCACCGCCGCCGCCGGGTCGACCGGTGTACACCGACGTCGGTGTAGCCTGTGCGTGCACTTGCCGCGAGGGAAAGGTGGATGGCCGCGACCTTGATGCGCGTGGTTCTCGCGTGCCCGAAGCCTCACGAAGCGGCACGAAGACGGCCGAAGCAACGCCTGTACGCGGTGGTTAAATTATCTCTGGCGCTCTGCCGATCTCTCTCTCTCTCTCTCTCTCTCTCACTCTGGACCTTTTCCTTTAGCGTCCGTTCAAGCCGACCTTCTCGCCTCTTCGCTACGTCGCGCGAGCGCGCGCGCGCGCGCGCGCGCGCAGGTACACGTACACGGCCGCGAGTGTGTGCGAGGTCTCACGGAAGCTGGAATGACTATCGCTACACTCCGCCAGCTCTCGAGCTCGGCTAGTTCTACGATGGGACCGGTATTTCGACTTAACCAACCAGTCATCCGCGGCGGCAGGGCAGAGTCTCTCAACTCGTTACCGATACCGCGCGCTCGCTAATGTCGCTCGAGAGAATGGAAGCATCCTAAATGCGAGATTTATGACGCCCCTAGCGTGATAATGGCAGCGATTGTCTATATATAAAGTGTACCTCTTGAAATCTCTCGATCGCGCTGCGCTTTCAGCGACTCATGACGTTTGATCGCGTTACACGGGGGAGGGGAGGGGGGACTGTAACGCATGCTCTTTGTCGCCTTTGATAAGAACTGCGGCAATAGCAATAATATTTAATAAACACCAACCGACGGTAATGTTATATCAATGTTATAATTTCCCGGTCGACGGTTTGATTGTCACACATACAACAAACATGTGTCGTATCGCTCGTATGTTATTGGGTGGAGGATTATAACGTATTGACGTAATGCTACTATTGGCTAGTGTTTACTACGTGGTATATAAAACTTAACGGTTCTGTAAAAACCCCCAGAGATCAGATCATTAAGAGTTTCATTGAATCACGTCGTCGGTATGATCGCTAAAGGTCTCTGTCTGAAGAAACTCAGACTTGAAGAATCCACAGGTCGAATTTCCGTAGCTTTTGCATGCAACAGACAATATGGGTGTAAAATATGCGCGATAATCTCTCCTTCACGTTCTCACGCAGCGGCGTTCGGCGGGAGTCCTAAGTTGAACGTGCGAGCTCTCAGGACTTTGCAGCTTGCTCGTAATAATCCTGCTGCCACCTCTGAGTCTTTGTCTTTTCATTGCCGGGAGCTCATTAGCCCTACTTGGCAAAGGGTATCTCATCAGAACCTGCCGGCTACCCCGCTACAGACTTCCCACCTTCGAACAGATTCTCCCGTCCCGTATAATCCTTGCTGACTGCCAACGGCAAAAGGACACCGGCTATTCGGTCGGTCAAAATGCTTGCTAGCCCCATCTTTAGCCAGCCTATCCGTAATTCCAGGTTGACCCAGTATCCCCTGATGCGCTCTGTTATCCACATCAAAGTGACCCTATTGGATTGACCTAGTGTTTCCGGAGTTTGCGTACACTCCCAAATCAAGGATAATTCAGTAGTCATTTTAGTACGCGCTGCCAACCCGAGCAGCTGCTCGGTTCTCTTCATTGCCGGCTACTTGAGCAACCAAAAGCTTCTCGCATATCGGAATATGCCGACACCTCAACCAAAAACATCGTGGACAGGATTTCAAATAAATGTAAAGCAAAGGAGAATAAATAGGAAGACAATTTCGTGTATAAAAAAAATATATATATATATATATATATTTATATATTTTTTAAATAATATTTCTTGTAAAGTAACTTTACAAAAGTATACATTCTAATGACTTTTCTCCCTTGGTCGATTCTCTTATTGTTTATAGTTACTCATCTGCCATGTATATTCTTACATCGTACCATCACATTTATAAATATTAAATTATTTATCGCTACTAGATGCCTCGGCAAGTAATGAGGAAATTTCTTCAATATAACTCGGTTCACCCGCGATAGTCTCGGCTGGATGAGACAATAAACCTTTCTTCTTGCTCTTAAGATCCTCTGAAATAGGACTGTCTTGCAGTGACGACGTTTCTGATGATACTACAAAAAACGACAATTTTTCTTACAGAATCTTGTACCATATAGTTTAATGAATAAATTCAATGGAATCATAAAGTAACTTACGTTCGCTAACCGTCTTATTATCCTTCTCATCCTCAGTCTCGCCCTTCTCATAACTGAAATTTTCATCTGTGTTTTCCTCGTCAACTACAAAGTGCAAGTACGAAAGAGTACATACAAGCGCTATGAAAAACAAATTTGTACCAATACCAACAATGGCTGACAGAATTGGCCAATGGAACATCAAGTAACGTAGTCCTGTCAAGTGAGCATTTATCATCAGGCTAGCTGAATAGAATTCAATATGCCTCGATTGGATCTGAATGTAAATAATTGTTACTGGATGACTCTAAAACAGACATAGAAGATTATGTTCAATTTTGCTGATTATGTCCAATTTATAATCTAATGAATCAAACTGAAAAATATATTACTAAATATACGCATATTAAATTTTGCTGTAATTGGGTTCATTATATATACCTGATCTTCCTCAAAATTACCAAACAGTTCCAAAACAACATCTTGTTTCTCCTCAACGTTGCCAAAAATCATCATAGGTGAAAATGTAAGAGTTGTAAGCGTATGCAATAATGTACTACGGTAATGTAACATCGCAGATCTGCAGGAATGGTCCACAAGAAATCCATCACGACTCCGCAGCTGTGCACAAACCATAAACATACCTAAAAAAAGAAATTAGCTCTTGTAGAACATGGCGTGCAACATAAATATCCAGTGATGTGATCAATAATTGTACCCAATTCTTTGTTGGTAGGTGACTCTGGCATTTCCAAGTGCAAATTTACTTTATATGGCTGGCCTATCATCAGAAGCTGCTGCTTGTTAGTCAACTGTACATGAGCCGATGGAAAGCTACAAATACCTTTTTGTTCGTCGCATGATCTGAAAATGAAAACCAGCAATAAGAATGACTGATTCAATTGATAACTCTGTGGATGAGTATTAGATGTAATAATATTGCCAAATAATGCTGTATTATTTTTCCTACCGCTCATTATTTTAAATATTTGCCAACAACTTGTTTCTCCCTGTCTCAAGCTATGATATCTCAAATAAATATAATTTCTAAACATTTTTTATCTCTATTGTTACATGTGCTATAATTTAAATAAAGCTTACTTGAATTGCAAATGTACAGGACGCACGTATGACATACTGGGCATGTACGTGTAATAAAAAGCCGTGTAAAGAAACACAGATAACCAAATTATGAAAATGGCGCAGACAACAATAATAGCGCCACGGACAATTGCATCTCTAGCGGATTGCACATTTTGCGTAGTTTTCTTTCGTACTGCGAACCACTTTCTGTTAACCGTACGTATTAACCTCGAAATTATCATTGTGCACAGTGACTGTCGGAAACGCACTGATAAATAATTTAGGTTCGTGAGGTGTTAAATGTACATCGACGTTCGACGTTACATAATAATACACTAAACTTTGGTCGATTTGGTGAATCTTTTTTTGCATCTTTTCACCTTTGTATACTTCAACGTGTACGTTGACCGGTGTTATCTATAACTGAGAAATCAATCTCGGTCATCGTGAAGGAAATAAAATAGTGACTATCGATATGTTGATTCATACAATCGATACAAAGAAGAAGAATAACAGACAAGGTAGCTCTGTGATTATATCGTTAATTAGATACGAGGGAAAATATTTAGAATTTTATGTTTCTCATAAATTGAGAGGTTATGTCCGTACGGTTAATGTTCAGATGGCACCAGTAATACGGTAAACTGGAAATTGTGATCATGCACAGAAATAAATTATTTGTCGCGATCATGAAAAATAAGTAAAATTCAATGGACTGTAACTTTGACGAAATTTACGATAATGAGTTGCTTTAAAAAGCATTTAAAAGATTGAAGTTTTTACTTTTCAGAAAAGTTAATAATATTTATTTGTAATAATATTTTGTTGTTTTCCGTTAAAATATATCAAATTAAATAAGAAATGTTTGTGTGTGGCAACATTTAAATTTCAATCCCAACAATTAAGTTCTTACAGATATATATTTTCAAGTATAAAGTTTAATTAATTTTACAATGTTGCACGAGTATAAATCGAGACCTAACAACTGCTTAACTTTTGTATAAAATAATATATCGGATTGCACCATGTAAACGATACATTACAGATAAATATGGCATAATTAAAATCATTTTAAAGTGTGAATTTTCCCCTTTAACATCGTATCGTAACTTATGATACAATGTTTTAAGCAGGTTATTCATTGAAACAAAATTGACATTTAAACTTTTATTGCTCATAGTAGGAGAATTGGTATAAAATATTAGCTATAAATAATGGAAAAGAAACTTGCACTTTCTTCTTTTAAATGCATTTATTATATGTTCAAAGACAACAATTTTTTAGCGTAAAAGCTCCATTGAAAAATAAGGTATAAAATCGAATAATCGCTATTATTCATTCAACCCGATATTTCTTTGCAATAAACAATGATAAAATTATGAATTTAATGTCCTTAAGTAGTGGAGATTTCAAGTTTTGAAATTTTTCCTAAACTATTTGGTTATCGTTATTTTTATTAAAATTATAACCTGTTGAATTTGGTCTATGTGTAGTGTAAGAAAAGTGTGTTGAATTCGCCTTTGAGCCATACTACTGAAGAAATACAAGAACCTGCTGATTTGACGTTGAGTTATTCTACGATTCTTCGATATGGATGGTGGCGTCCCGTAGCGGAAACTTCGAGATTAAATGTCGACTAAACACATCCCACGACCCAAGACTCGAACCGTTCGTTATCAACATCCGTGAAATCCAGAGGGTTTTTCAATAAACATTTTTCAAATTCAATTATTTATTCATTCAATAATTAATATCTTGAAAACTTGAAGACGAATTCAACATAATGCTCGAACATAAATCAAATATTTTTTTCACTATAATTGATTAACCTTCATCAGGCTCCTCTCTGCTTCATTAAATGCGCTTACTGATCGTCACGTAATTAGATACGATAAATCCAGACTGGCAAATATTTGGCCCAAATATTGAGGTGTTTCGTTGAATTTATCTCAATTTTCGAGATGCTAAGGAGATATCGTGTCCTTGTGTGTGTTATGAATCCTCGTGGGTGAATTTCTCGCGGCGGAGGTGGAAAAATATAAGTCTCGACTAAGTGATCGATAAATGTTGCTTGAAAATTGTTCAAGTCTTGGATTTTTGAGATGACATTGATATTTAGTTTCAGAATCTCCGCTACGAGCCGCCACCATCCGTACCGAGCAATCAAGGTCAGAAGTGGTAAAGAAGTGCCTAACAGACTTTGTACCTCGGCACGGTACATTTTTTTGCATAATCTTTTATTTTTCAATAATTCCTTTATTTTTATACAATCTTTTATTCATTCTTTTATTTTTTTTAGTAACTAGCCAAGGTCGTGGTATAATTCAACGATTAATCAGAGTCTTCTTTTCCTCATAGCCTTATTCAAACATGAGCAAAATTCAACAGGCTGTACATAACTGTGTATAAAAAAGATAACGAAATGGTTCGAGCAGCATTATAAAACAATGTAATCTCTACTTTTCAGGCACATTCATAATTCATCACGTAATTATAATTCAAGCACATAATTTAGAACGTTGTTATCGTTTATTACAAAGATATCGAATTAAGTGAATCAAAGATATCAAATTAAGTGAAAAATAGCGGCGCCTTGACTTTCAACGCTACCTTTGAATTAAGTTTTTGCATTGAAAAATTATTTTTATCAAAAATATGATAAATATTTATTAACGTATTAAGGAGGAAGCTTTAAGGTTTTTATTCATTGCTTACCGAACGCTACGCATTGACTCGTTTGTTTTTGGCGAGTGAAAAAACGGTTTTTCGTTTAACATTGAACTTGGTGAAAAAAAGCTTACGTCAATATGTACGTGCATTATTCAAATTAAAGAAAAAAAGTCATATTTTTAAACCGTATAAATTCTATTTACATTCGGGTTTTCGTTTATGCGTTGCAACGACAAAAGCAAATTTATCGACTCAAAGCCGCAATATTTTTTCCGGAAGCGAATTGATCAGTTGGTCGAAATATGAAGAAAGTCATCGAAGATAGTAGCCAATATTTCAAGGATTAAAATGTATTTAATTTCTGGCAAATTAACGTTCGATTTCGTTCGAAAAAAGGCATCGAGTTAATTTGTACACCTAATAGTGGTACGAGACGAAGAATGTTTATAGGAAACTGGAAAGCCAATGCGTAAGATTATCCTTCTTACGATCGAGAACGCGATTATCTGCGAAAGGATGCACGCACGAAGAATGAAAGCAATAATGATTTTAATAATTACATTATATATTGAGCAATTTATATCATCGGTTACATATAAAATCTTGACGCTGCCTTTACGTCAAATGTCATCCTCATTCTGACTTCTCCCCGAATCATTGGCAGCATCTTGCGTAATTCGTTGACCGTTCGATACTCTCGCTTTGTTGGGTGCATAATTGCGAAACAGATCTTCCTCCTCGGCAAAATAGTCCCGCAACTGGTCCAGCTTCGTGCAATGCGATTCTGCAAAATGAAACGATCGACTTGAACGAGCTGTCATTCATATTTACGATTGAGAGGAATATCCTCTCAATCGTAAATCAAATCTTAAAATAAATAAATGTAAGGAATGTTCTTAATTATTCCGAGGTTATCTTCAGAGATTAGAGGTTATCTTAATTATTGCAACAACATGCATGTTACATCCTTGAGGGAATATTTCCTTGAGGGAAACAGTAGTCTCTCCGTTCCCTTCGAATATTTCCTTCAAAATCATTTAATACGTGTAGCCTTGAAAAATGGAAGAATTATTTGCATTTTGCCATGATATTCCGATATAATTTATATTTTAAGACATATGTTTTTTTAATATATTTCCACGTATGTCTGTACAGGGTGCTAAATTTCAAACGTAACAGGTGAAAAATCTCTAAAACTATGAAAGATATTAAAAAAAATTAAAACACGTGTTCCATGATTTCGAAGGGGAAAGAGAAAGGCATTATTAGCTTTTTATTTGGAGGGCATTTTCAAGAGTTCATCAATTGAAGGTCAACTTAATTTTTTAAACTGGAAAGCCCAATTTTTTATTATATCTTCTTTTTCTACCAATTAACTTTAACAACTTTTGTCTGAAACATTTTTTTATTTGCCTAATATTTTTTGAAATATTTAAGGAAAACTTGGTAACTTTTTCAACATTTAACTTACGATATCTCGCTAACTATTCGTCGAAGGAAAAAATAGTATTAGACTTTTTTACTTTATTTACTATTAAGAATATATTACTATAATAGAGTGCCCTAACTTTTGTTACCTTAACGACCTTTGGAAATTTCAGAATTATTAAATTAACAAAAGTTAGGGCACTCTATTATAGTAATATATTCTTGATGGTAAATAAAGAAAAAAAGTCTAATTCCAATTTTTTCCCTCGACGAATGGTTAGCGAATAGATATCGTAAGTTAAATGTTGAAAAAGTTACCAAGTTTTCCTCAGATATTTCAAAAAATATTAGGCAAATAAAAAAATGTTTCAGACAAAAGTTGTTAAAGTTAATTGGTAGAAAAGGAAGATATAATAAAAAATTGGGCTTTCTATTTTAAAAAAATTAAGTTGACCCTCAACTTGACCCTGAAAATGCCCTCCAAATAAAAAACTGATAATGCCATTCTCTTTCCCCTTCGAAATCATGGAACACATGGTGTTTTAGCTTTTCTTAATATCTTTCATAGTTTTGGAGATTTTTTACCTCTTACGTTTGAAATTTAGCATCCTGTATAAAAACAGAATTATATGGCATCGATTCCTGACGTGCAGATAATGTAGAAATTTTTCTTACTATTGAAAAAATGCTGCGTTCTTTGCTTCAGTAAGTTCGATAAAATATCAATTGAGATGCAGACATACGCCAGACGCGAGTGAGGTGAAGCGTCTTACCAAGCGGATGTTTGAGGAATTAACTGTGCACACTCTCATTGCACAATGTGTGTACTCACTGTGAAGGCTCGCGACGCAATCCAATTCCCCACCAAAGTCCTTCGGCAGGCATTCAGGCGGTATATGTGGATACACGTCGGAGACGTCACCGGTGTAAAGGTGAAGCTACGAAGTATAAATTAACTTTGTAAACGAGCGGATTCGCACGCGCGCGCGTGCACGTATAATTTTTTCGCACGCGCGCTCGCGTGCTCTCAACACATTGTATTCCGCTGGGAAAACATGGAGGCACCTTCGCGGTGTCCGACTCAAGCGATAAATATTCACAGCGTACGCGCATGAAGTAGCATTTTTTATTCATCGTGACTTTCACCGATCCGAGTGCAATTGAGGTCAACTTGCGAAGCTCAACAAGTCCGGCGTGATTATCAATCGCACTCGCGCCGGTGAACCGAATCGCGCGAACCCGAAGCGATTACGCTCTCCCCGAGAGAGACTTTTTCTCTCCCCTTCTTCTCTTTCATGTTTCTCTCTCTCTCTCTTCTCTCTTTTTCTCGTTCTTTCTCCTATGTCGTTACCATGTCGTAGAGCTCTCGCTTCATGAAGGGCCTGATGAGCGCGAGGATCTTGTCCATGAACCAGACCACGTTCACTATGTGAATGGCCTTGAGCCTGACCGGCATGCCCTCCTGAATATACTCGAAGTATCTCCTGATACTGTTTATCGACAGCCTCGTCAAGTGGCCGAGACCCACGCCGTGCATGTCGAAGAGAAACACGTATCCCGGCGAGCAGCCCTCCGTGTAGAGGTCCGCGTCGATGGACATCAGCAGCAGCTTGATGCCGTCGTTGAACATGTACTGGGACGCTCGGGTGTCCGCCAGCCGGTGAAAAATTATTCGATGGCCGTTACGGTCCGGTCTCGGCAGCGCCGTGAACTCCCTGCGAGGAAAGGCGTACGTGAATGAGAAAAGTTGCGAGAGCGCCGGGAAAATTTCATACTCCGGAAAAAGGGAGAGAGAGAGAGAGAGAGAGAGAGAGAGAGAGAGAGGAATCTGTAAGAATTGATATTCGTAATTTATTATTATTACTCATCTTTTTGATTTTATCATTATTATTATTTCACTATTACGTATTGTTATATTTCTGAGAAGAACATTTGTTAGCAAGCGTTACTTGTAGTAACGATAACTTTATATTGCCGCTGCTAGTTTTTCGTTGGCGCCGCAAAACGAGTGCCATCGCGATGAAACTAGCCATTTTGTTTCCTCGGCGCACGTAATAAATATGCGAAGTTGCAATCGTCGAGTAAACGTTGGTGAAACTTCCGCCATTGTCGCGGCGGCTCCGGCGGAATCGAAAAGTGATAAGGATACGAAAGCAACAGGATCTTCCTCGGTGATATCGTCGCTAGTTAGTCGGTATCAGGTGGATGCGCGCTGCAGCTGCACCGCGAGCGGGGAAATTGCAGCGATAAAGATATCTAATGCGGTCGTATTAAGCTCAAAGTGTTATTGGCAGCCGCGCAATTTGTACATACACGATGAGGGATGAGGGATGAAAGACGGTATTGAAAGAGACGAAGAGGGGAATTGATCGCGCGCGGGGGCGGGGGAGGGAGGGGGGAGGCAGAATTCGCTCAGTCCGATTTTCGGAAAATGCGATTTTTCTGAAGCGATTCTTCTTCTCCGCTGGATTTTTTGTCCGTTGCCCGGTGCTCACTCGTCAACGTCGTTTCGTTTGATGAAGAATTCAGCATCTGACATAATCAGGACGTTGCTTTATCTTTGTGTGCCCCAAAGGAAGACAAAACTGGCGGGTGAAACTGTTATACAGAATGCAACCGGTCTAAAATTTTAGTTAGTTTAAATTCTAATTACGCGATTATTTCTATCCGGACAACAATACGGTACCACGGAAAATTCTCTGAAAAATATCTTCCGTCATCATTAACGCACACGCATGCGGCGACGAGCGATCTTGATGTTTTCGTTAACTTTCCGTCGCCAGACAGGCACGGCTTATAATTACCATAAGAAAAAGCAACAGAAGTGATTCTCTTCTCACATACATCAGCTTCAGAGCATAAAGAACAAAATAATATAGATAGATATATATATATATGATAGATAATATAGATAGATGAATAACCAAATCAAAATAATGTGTAAACGATACAGTGACAGACAACTTCCAGACAAGTGAAACAAATTACTTACAAGAAATCGTGAAAATTAACAAAGGTCGACATTAATTTATATTCACATGTCAATTGTTTCCTACGCGGATACATCTTCTTTTAATCAGAAAGCAATATGTAAAAATCGTGTCTGTCGGTTCGGTTGCGTCGAACGAAAGGTCAGGAAGAATCGCCTCCGGTGATGAATCAGATTCGTATAAGCGAGAATGAATAAGAAATAAGACGAATGTCTCCGAAATTAACGCGACATGGTAATCCTTTTCGCCGCCGCGCGAACAAGCGTACTGTAATTTGACGAGAGAGGAAAGCGTGTAAAGACCGGCCGATTGGTATTTACGATTTCGCTCCCTCTTTCATGCCGCGGAGCGTCAGCGAGAGAGACTCGACCCGCGGACTCGATTAGACGCGCGAGTAAGAACGTACAAGGCTCTCAGTGAATGCTGCAAATACTCGAGCCTCGAGTCCCTGTCGCTGAAAAATTCCGGGACGGTGGTCCTCATCCTGTAGTAAACGTCCATGCACCGTCTCGTGGCATCCAGGTTGAAGTAACAGCTGTGCGCGAACAACGCCAGTTGCTCGTCGGGAATCCGCGACAGGCCGCGCTCCTTCGCCCAGTTTCGCAGGACCTCCAGCAGCTCGTTCGTCAGCTCCGGATGCTTGCCGCGCGAGTCGTCGATCGTGTGGCCGAGCTTCATTCTGAGAAGAAACAAAAGCATCAGCTCTCTCTCTCTCTCTTTCTGGCCCGTTGAGCACACGGACTCGCGACTGAATTTGATCTGTCCGTTGTCGCGAGCGGAAAAAGGAAAACACTACTCGTCTGCGAGATATTCGGCCCTGATTAAAATTCCGGGCGAGCAATTGACCGGGTAACGAAAACCTCCCGCAGGAGTCTTCCTGTTTCTACGATCAAGTTTCCCAAGTCTGGGGTCCCCGGCGCGGACGGGATTCACTTGAGCCGAACTTTCTTCTCGCGTGCTTGCGCGCGCGAAGAAACGGCGACTCGTCGACACGTCGGAACGGGCGGTCGTCGGGCGGAAACTCATGACGGGAAACGGTATCTTAGCTTCCGCAACCGAAGGGAAAAACATTCGGCAAATTCTGTGAGATTCGCGCTGAGGAGAAAGATTGGCCTACCGCAGGAGTCTCGCTGTTCCTGCGAAAGCCCGACTCTTCGTCCTGGCATCCCGGATAACAAGATTCGCGCGAAGCGAGTGCCGAGGAAACCTCAGATTGAATTCTCGTCCGGTTCTCCTCCACTTACGCAAACTGAGATTTTCTTCGCGAGGTTCAGTTCGTGCGGCTGAATAGAGGGAGCAGACGAAAGCTCAATGTGACGAAAAACGATCCGCCCGTTACCGCGGATGGGAACGTTCGATCGCATTAAAGCTCGTTTGAGATAACCGATTGACTGGCTAAAGGAAACCTCCCGCAGACGTCTTTTTGTTCCGAGTTTTCGTCTAGTCTCCGGGAATCCAGAAAAGGAGCAAAGGAGCTCCGGTTCGTGTGATCATCGATTGAAGGACCAGACGAAATTTCAGTGACGAGCAATCACACGAGCGAGCGAAGACGCTCGTCTGAATTTCGTCGCGCTCGCTCGAAACTCGCCGGAAATTTAGCTTCATTTTTTTTTACTAAGGCAATGCCGAGAGGCCGAGGAACGCAAAGGCAGTCGTTCGGACTTGAGGTTACGTCAAACGAGTATTCCCTGATATACGATCGCGCCGGCCTTTCCGTATTTCTCGCACGTACAGGTCGCACATAAATGTGTGCCGCTCTGTTTTAGCGGGATTTAGCGGGAGAAGCTTAAGCACGCATATGTGCAAATTTTCCTGCAAACTTTTCCTACGCATGCGTATCTATTTTTTGAGCTTCTAAATTCAGTCCAAAAAAAAAGTACGTTCTTCGAAAGTTTCCCCGGCGGAGCAAGCGCGTCGCGCGTTCGATACGCAAACTTTTTCGTCGGTTGCGAGTTTTTACGTCAACTGTCAACTTCAGAATGTTTTACCGCGTTTCGTCGCGCATTGAGCAATGCTCCGCTTCACCTTCGCGCATATCCTCATTAAATGCGAGCTTTCGTAATTTTGCGCAACCCAGTGTCAAACGTAAACTTCGGCGGCAGAGGTCGGTAACGGTAAAGAGATCCTCGTCCTCTTAAAACTCCATTGAGCTGATTGAAAACAATCGATCGATTGGAAATCTCCTGCAAGAGTCACAACCGAGTTTTCCAATCTGTTCTCCTCGGGTAACGAAAGAATTCGATCGTACCAACGGAAACTGTTCTTTCCCTTCTCGTGCTTTTGCGCAAACTTCATTCTGCGAGGAAAGAAGTCGCTCGTCAGCTCAGTTGGGTACTTTGCGAATTTGGAATTAATTCAGCACTTCGTGCGGACTGTCAGCTGACTTTCCACGCGGCCGCGGCCGCGGCCGGCGAGACGCCGAATAAAAGCAAACGGAAATTGTGCAAAGTCCCGTTCGTAAAGTCGAAGTCCAATGAAACACAGTCCGTAGGTTAGCCCGTGTAACGAAACTTTCACCGCAAACGTAAGAACTGTCGCTAACTAATAGTTGATTGTGTAATTTCGCCCGCCGTAGCGTCGTCGCGATATAATTACTTTCGCGCGCGCCGCGGTCTATTTTCGGCCCGCCGCTCTGTTTCGGTTATTTTAGCGATTCTATTTTTTGCGAATGCATTTAAATTTTCCATTCGATACTTCATTAGCGCGCTTAGGTACGGCGGTCGCCACGCTATCGTCCGCGGATTAACTTTGACGCGAGGAAGTTTCGCGAAAGCAGCAGAATCATCGTCGTAAATTGCAATAAATTATATTTGCATATAATTATGACGACTTTGCGATTCATGATATTACATAGGAATTTTCCTTTCGAGATCTAATTTTTGCGCCTCGAGAACCGTCCGCTGTGCGAGCGGCGCTGTACCCGCGCCCCACGCAACCGCGGCGTGCGACTTCAAATCAGAGAGCATGAAATTAATTGGATTTAAATTACACGCCTGACAGAGAGTAAAAAGTAATCGAGAAGATTGGGGATTTTGGCGACTCTTGCAACCTCGATAGATCGCAGCTATGATTAATAATCCAGACAGCACCGGACATCCAATGGATGTACGTTTCACGTCCAATTTATGTCCATATGTCCAATTTACGTCCATGGACATAGATTGGACGTAACAAGGATGTCCTTATTGGACATCGGACCTGTAGGACGTCCGATATACGTCCATCGGATGTCCTATGCCCGAAGTTGTGACAAACGTACATCCTATGGACGTCTTTTGTATAAAAAATGGATATGTAACGGATGTCCAATGGACATCCGTGTGCTGTCTGGGAAGGACCGCTCTGGTATTCCGGCGCTGCATTCCAACGTGTATGTCTAAAGGCCATCACACACAAACGAACTTAAGCAGTAAGACGTAGCAGTAAGCAAATCGATCAATCACAATCGAAACTTAAAGACGTCATTTTGAAACTTACAAGAATAATTGATTGTGATTGGTCAGTTTCTTTACTGCTTACGTCTTACGTTCATTTGCGTGTGATGGCCTTAAATTCTGCACATATGCGTGATTTTTGCGAATCATGCGACACTTAAACAAGGAGGTTCTACAGTTGAATTAAGGCGGACAAACTTGGACAGAAATGTTGAGACGCCGGTGCTTTTCGAGCCGATGAGAAAGACGACCTCTTCGCGGACGAAGCTTCAAGAATCCAGATGGATATATATTACGAAGGTAAATATTTTTATTAATTCCAGACGGAGAATAATTGATCCAGAATTCAATCTAAACTTAATTACGAAGGTATACAATGTTAAAAATTGAAAAGTCGAGATAAATGATAGATCTAGATTATTAATCATGTAACAGTCTCGACACGTTTTAGATGAAACTTCGATCTTCTATCAAAAACCAAAGAAAAGCTAAATAAAACGTAAGCTAAAACGTAACATTAAATTTAAAGCTCAGAGATATCCTTCAGATCTTCGAAGGTACTTCTCGCCTAAGAAAACATTTCTCGAGTCTCCTCTCATTTCTATCGGATAAATTGTTCTCCTGCTCTCTCACTTCGAGGACATTTCTCAGATTTCAGACGCCCGCACGCGCGTCTTCCGCGTCGGAAAATTCAAATACCTGAGAGCAGCCGAAGATCGCGCTGAAAACTGATTCCCTCCCGAAACGGCGATTAATCGCGGGAGCGTTCTCGTCGGCCGCAGATAGTTTTCGCTGGATAGATATCGGATATATACTTGGCGTTTGCACAGCGCAGATTAGTGGATCGTATCGCCTCGAAATAAAATCCTCGTGCTTTTTCGACTCGCGCGGCTCGCGGAACTCAGCTGACCGAACGTGTCGCGCGCGCGCGCGACTGCAAGAAGCGCGCTTGACTCGCGCCGCGCCAGATATTGAACACCGGCGCGAATACGCTAAGGATAAATATTCCCGCTTGCACACAGCGGAGAACCGGTCGCCACTCTCTTGCGTAATCGAGGGACGAGTGACGCCGCGCGTGGAAAACAGCGGTACCAGGAAGTCGTCGTTTCGAGGTGCACGGAGGAGTCGCGGCGACCTCCGGAATCATGGGAAATTCGCGATCGATCGTGTCGAGATAAGACGAGATCTCACTTGGTGGAGAGAAGCGGAAACCTGCCAGTTCCCCGGCGATGCGTCTTCACGGCGTACGAGTATTCTGGGAATGAGTGTAAAACATCCCGCGAGAGGAATCTCTTCTGCGTGTTCGCGGAGCGTAAAGTCGCCTCGCGTCGGCGAGACTCGCGGCGATGTTATTATTATCGCAGAATTTACCGCGTAAAATATTGATGAAAAAATATTGATGAAAAAATATATTTATGAGTGATCTTAAATCTCTACGATCATAAATCTCTAATATGTATAACATATAAATGGTGTAATGATCTTCCTTATCAAATGACGTTTGTTTTTCCAAGAAAAAGAATTTATGAGTGATATTGCGCACGATTATATATATCTTGAATATTTATACATGTATATGCAGTCGGTCTATTTGTTTCATTTCTTTCTTCAAATGACGCTCGCACGAACAAGGCCGGACGGTCAATCGCCAAAGAAATTAATCACCACGCAAGAGCTCACGATCTGAGCTCGAAGCGTTCTCAATTTCGTCGGAAAACAGACGTGGGAAAAACACTCCGCAAACAAGTACATTTATGAGCGCGCGCGCGAGTATTTTTACCTGAGCTTTCAATCAAATCCGTCCATCAAGCTATCCATTCATCTGTCCACCTTCCTCTCGACGCGCGGCGTGACAAGCGGCGTGATCATCGGGGAACCTTCCGCGGGGAATGAAAAATGTGAAAGGGAAAGCGTTCGCCGACCGGCGCGGCGGCGGCGGCGAGCACTCCCGCGTCGTCGCCGCCGAGCGGCAAATCCGCGCAATTCGCGCGCGCGCACGGTTATTACGCGGGTATTACGCGTGTTGCGCAAAGGAACGTCGAGTGCGCGCTCGGTGAACGTGTCGCTCACGTTGTGATCCAACGGCCATCACATCGCGCGGGCAAGTATATAATCGCGATCGACCAAGGCGACGGGGAGGACTCGAGCCGACCGGCCGAATGTCACATCTGGACTTCACGCGAACTTTGATCGAGCGAGAGCTCGATCGAAGTGAATCGATCTCGCGAGAGCTCGATCGAAGTGAATCGATCGAGCTCTCGCGAGAATCGCTCAATGAGGCTGAGTGCGCTCGCGTTCGTCACGCTCGCGGCGAAACAAGAGCAATCTTCTCGCGGAATTCTCTCTCGACTCGAGACGCGGCGCAGCCGGTTTCAACGCTGCTCGAACGGCCTTTCTTCCCCGGCCGCTCGATGCTGATCGCAACGCCTCGGACAGTCTGACGAGAGAGAACTCGCTCCCGAATAATTTCCACAAGTCCAGGTTTTCTTGTTGGACGTCCGCCGGACGCCCGCCGAATTGCGGCCGGAAATAATAGCGTTCGTCGGAATACTTGTCGCACTTCACGTCGGAAGCGTTTCGGAGCAAAACGTGCCGGACGGGAGAAGCCATTTTATGAGTATTATTACGGGAGTAACCCGAAAACAAATTCTTTTTTTTTTTCAAGTCCGCTACGTTCCAAAGTACGCCCGAGCCGCTCGTGTTGAAACTGTTTTGCAAACAAATGGGCATACAACGGCACAACAGCCTTGATTGATGAACACGCAATGCACAATTGTTATAGTGTGTTGAAAGGTCTCCCAACTCACTTGCGCACACAAGTCTGTGACTCGTGAAATTATTAATTAGAAGCTGCATAATTATCAAGCTTTCAAGCCAACTAGGTTTTCATCGGGTTCTTCAGTCGTTTCCACTTGTCTCCGGACATTGGGACAAAGCTACCGTAACATTAAGTTAATTGCAATATCGGTCACTGCCTCAGCATCTCGTTCTCGTTTCTTTGGATAGTCGATAAATAATAAATCAATAGTGCTCCTTAGGATCAGAAAATCTTAATTATCTGCTTGCATCGCGTGTTAAACTCTTATGCTGGCTGCGTACTGTGGATATATGTGTGTTTCTTGCCGCGATAAGTAGGATTACTTACACGATTCTCACTTACATGTATGTGCGGTCAAGGCTGGTAATCGTATCGACAACCGTAGTTGTAATGGTAAAATATACACACACACACACACACACACGACGCAGAGCGTGTACAAATAGGGGAGAGCGGCTCTCTTAAGTTGACCCAAGGGCCACGTTAGCCGTGCGTCTCGCTTATGTATTTATCGCGAGGGAGAGACGGGGTGGGAAAGAAGAAGTCGTAAGATGTTCCTCTTGGAACGTAGTTACGCGCAGACCGGCGTAACAGTCTTAACGCGTTAACTTGCACCCTCCTGATGAGCAGAATGCACACAGGCCGGCATATCAAGTCACCCTTCTAGAAGGCGCGATGCACAGCCGGTGAGAGAAAGGAAGCCTGCGTCACCTTAGCCTCGAAGAACTTTAAAACCAACTCGGTACTCAATAAAAAATTACCTCTCGAGAGTTATTTAAAAAAAAAAATCAAATGTTCACTTTTCAGTTGTGAAGCCGTCGTCGAAACTGCGCGTACATTTGTTTTCTTTTATGGAAGAAGCTTTAGAACGGCGAGACTTCGTCAGTCACCGGTTCATGCCGGTCTGCATATTTTCTTCTTCTTCCGGGGGTTCCTGAAGCTACGTAAATTTATGTGACAAAATTTCGATCGGGCTCTATGTATCTTTTTTACGTTCTAAAAGGAACATTGCTTTCCCGCCCTGTTAGTCTTTGGTCTTGCGTCATTCAACCCCACGCACAAATTTCACGATCGCGACACAGACCGGTCTTATCATCCAAAACTATGTTCCAAGTTCCCCTTCAGATGCTCCGTAAGCAATGAAGCAATCAAACATTAGCTTCTTCTTGATCCCAAACGTTCCTAAATATGAAAGATCCAACTAATAAGATATAATTATTAAGGAAGCGTTCCGTAACATAAAATATATGTAAAAAAAATATGTAATATACACTGTAAGAAACGATGTGTTAAACTTAACATATTTCATGTGTCTTAAATCATCCACTCTCATTTATGTTAACTTAACATACAGCAAATATGTTAAAAAATGCAACACATATGATATGTAAAAAATTTAACACAAAAATTTAACATTCAAATCACTGTCATGAATCACAGTTTGTGTTAAATTGACATACAATGAATGTTACTTCAACTGTCTGGGAAAAACAATGATCTATGATTTGATGAAGTGAAGATGTTAGATTGCCATAATCTATGTGTTAAAAATTCGATCTTCACATACCAGAAATAT